GTCACACAAGTTTTTCCTGTGGCATCTTCCTTGACTACTGATGCTTTCACAGAATTCTTCTGAATGTCTCATGATAGTACAAAAGGGATGTTGGAATAGAAGCTTCCTACATGATGGCCATATCGGGGCATCATCATTTATTTATAACAGCTGGAGGGCTCTCTTGTACTTGGGAATTTGGCAACACTCAAGAAATGCTTCATTCTTCCATTTAAATACATAAAGCTAAGAAATCCTGGGATGATGATCTATGATTCTTCCAAAAGCCATTTCAGAAAAGATTAAAAGTTTCCCTTTTAGTGACAGGCAAGGACAGAGAATTCTTTTTGGAAGAAATCTCACCAGCAAAACAAGAACTACTTGGACAGCATATATTTTATATCAATATATTTGGTGGTAGAGTTTCAGGTTAACTGAAATCACTGTTTTAAAATTAGAGTGCAGTCTGACATGACAATATGGAAAGGATCAATGGTTAAGTGAGTTACCATCTCTCAGAAAGATGCTGTTGGCAGAGGCATTGTCATGGCACACACTTTCCTATTAGGATAAAATTCCCAAGACACTCATGAGGCTTTGCAAGTAATCATTAGCATGGCTTCCCACTACAATTGAAAACATATGCCTAAATACTGTTTTTGAAAATGACACAAATGTTTAAATACCAACATAAAAAAAAAATCTATATAAAGGTGCCAGAAACTTATGTGGTAAGAAAAGCCAAAGAATTTGTGCAAAAGCATGTTTCTTACTGTCTTCTATTTGAATAAACACTGCTGAAAATTTAAAAGGCTTCAACATTCCATCCATGAAATCTACATATTTTATGTAGATTTTATGAAAAAAAGCAATCCAACTGTGGCATCAAAGTCCACCTTTAAGACAGGCTTCAAAAGTAAAAAAACAAAAAAACAATCTTCTTTTCTAGGTAATACAAGACATTAGGGAGAGGTAAAATGCAATTACCACTTTGCTTCAGGAAAGAATATTTTTTAAAATTGCAAATTCCATATCGGATGAACTGAGCTGAGTCTAAAATCAATTTACTTGGTGACTACATTTTTGGAGAATGTAGCTTATATGCAAGTGAAGATTAGCTTTCAGGGGCATTCATGAATTCCTTATATTTCCTAGGTAACAATGAATATAGTTATGATTTCTATTTTATCTTGACAGATATTTATTGAGTTAACCAGGTTCTGTGATATATCTAGAAAGAGAGAGAGAGAGAGAGAGAGATACCAAGGAGAGAGAGAAAACTTGAGAGGAAAGTGCAGTTGTGAATACCAAAATGGGAGAATGGATTAAGTGCTGATTAGAAAGTCTTAGAAGAAGATAAATTGAGTTTGAAGCATGATGTTTGCAATGTTAATGGCTTACACAATGTGTGTTATCTACCAGTAAATTGTAAATTCAAATGTTGAGCTTAGAAAATGGCAAGGACTAATGACACACATTTTGGATTTGTTTGCACAGAATAGATAATAGAAGCTAAATGAATAAATGAGATGCCCAAGGAATATATAAAAAGAAGAGGACCAGGGACACAACCTCTGGATATACACACAAGTATGAGCAGGAGGAAGCCAGCTAATGGAGAAGGTGCAGCCAGGGAATTTGGGATTTATGTAGTAATATAAGGCTTAAGCAATAGGCAAAGAGAGATTCTATAATGCCAAACAATGCAAAGAGGTGAGATATATCACATTGGTTAGAAGACTGCATTTTCTTATTATAAGAATATTCAAGACACAAAATCAGCAATTAGGTAGAGATGGCAGTAGATGAGATATACATCTCATGTTATATCAGGGCACAAGGTTTCTAAGCCAAGATTCAGTGGAGAATAAAGTGATTAAGGATTTAATTGGTACCAAAGGTCATGGAGGTGGCAGGGTAGTAGGAGTAAAACTTGAGAGTAGAGTGAGACATCAGTAGTCTGGGTAAGGGGGATTATTCCTTAGCTGTTGAGCAAGCAAAGAGGGGACCAATGAAACCTCAGGTATAATTAAGCATGAGAGAGGACATCAAAAAACACATTTTAGAAGATTCTTGGTTTCTGAAATTTCAAGTTGAAATTATGTGAGGATAAAAGACTCAAATCTGGGATTTTAGGTATAAGAATAAAAAGTGATAGAAAAAGAATGTAATAAGTAAAGAACACTTTGAAACTTTCCTTTATCCAAGAAAAAGTAACCAAATTTAAAAACTGAAGTCAGAGTTTAGGTCACACTTTTTGTTTGTTTGTTTGTTTTTTTTGTTATTAGGGACTGAATCCACTGAGTTAAGTCCCCAGTCCTTTTTATTTTTTTGAGTCAGAGTCTTGCTAAGTTGCCTAGGGCCTGGTTAGGTTGCTGAAGTTGGCCTTGAACTTGCAATCCTCCTGCCTCAGCCTCCCTGTGGGATTACACGTGTGTCACTGCACCTGGATAATTAATTTTTAAATTCAGAATGCATCTTCCATAACTGCGATATTTTATAATGATTTTTACAGATACATTTTGTATCTATTTCTTATACTGGAAGAGAAACTAGCATATTTCTTGGAATAGTTCCAATATTACAATAAGACAGGTGATGAGATTCTATCCTGGCCTATAAAATAGATTAGGAATGTGTGAAATTCTATCATCTGTGACAACATGGATGAACCTAGAAGACACATAAAATGAAATAAGCCATGCATAGAAATACATTTTTAATCACTGACTGACCAGCAAACTGAGGTTGTTTCCTTGGTGTAGTGGTTCTCAAACTTTAGGGTCCATCAGAATTACCAGAAGGGTTTGTTAAAATGCAGATGGTTGAGTCTTAGAATTCCTGAAGTGTGGCCTGAAAATTTGTATTTTGAAAAAGTTCTCATTTATCATGATTTTTCTAATGTGAGGATCACACTTTGAAAATCACTCTTATAAAACATTTACTGCTCATTATTACATATCATGTTAAATCTCTGAACAATAGTACTTTCACTCCTGTTAATTTGACAAATTAGAATTTGTGGATGTATTAAAATCACAAGTAATCCTTAGCAGGGAGAGTAAAGCATGTGGCATTACTATACCAGACCTTAAACTATACTACAGAGCAATAGTAACAAAAAACAGCATGGTATTGGCACCAAAACAGACTGGTAGACCAATGATACAGAATAGAGGACACAGAGACTAACCCACAAAACTACAATTATCTTATATTAGACAAAGATGCCAAGAATATGCATTGGAGAAAAGATAGCCTCTTCAACAGCTGGAAATCCATATGCAACAAAATGAAATTAAACCCCTATCTCTCCCCATGCACTAAAATCAACTCAAAATGGATCAAGGACTTAGGTATACAACCAGAGACCCTGCGTCTAATTGAAGAAAAAGTAGGCCCTAATCTCCATCATGTTGGATTGGCCCCAACTTCCTTAATAAGATTCCTGTAGCACAAGAATTAAAATCAAGAATCTGTAAATGGGATGGACTCAAATTAAAAGTTTCTTCTCAGCAAAAGAAACAATCTGTGAGGTGAATAGAGAGCCTACATCCTGGGAGCAAATCATACATCATACATCATACGTCATACATCAGAAAGAGCACTAATCACTAGGGTATATAAAAAACTCAAAAAGCTAATAATAAAAAAAAAAAAAAAATATCCCAATCGATAAATGGGCCAAGGTCCTGAAGAGACACTTCTCAGAAGACAATGTACAATCAATCAACAAACCATGAAAAATGTTCATCATCACTAGTAATTAGAGAAATGCAAATCAAAACCACTTTAAGATTTCATCTCACTGCAGTCAGAATGGCAGCTATTATGCATACAAACAACAATAAGTGTGGCGAGGATGTGGGGGGAAAAGGTACCCTCACACACATCTGGTGGGACTGCAAATTGGTGCAGCCAATATGAAAAGCCGTATGGAGATCTCTTGGAAAATTGAGAATGGAACCATCATTTGACCCCGCTATCCCTCTCCTCAGTCTATACCCAAGGGACTTAAATACAGCATACTACAGGGACACATCCACATCAATATTTATAGCAGCACAATTCACAATAGCTAAACTGTGAAACTAAACTAGATGCCCTTCAATAGATGAATGGTTAAAAAAATGTAGCATATATACACAATGGAATATTACTCAGCAATAAAAGAGAATAAAATCATGACATTTTCAGGTAAATGGATGGAGTTAGAGAAGATAATGCTAAGTGAAGTTAGCCAATCCCCCCAAAAAACAAATGCCGAATGTTTTCTTTGATATAAGGAGGCTAATTCATAGTGGGATAGAGAGCAGGAGCATGGGAGGAATAGATGAACTCTAGATAGGGCAGAGGGGTTGGAGGGGAAGGGAGGGGGCATGGGGTTATTTATGATGGTGGAATGTGGTGATCATTATTATCCAAAGTACATGTATGAGGACATGAATTGGTGTGAATGTACTGTGGACACATAGATATGAAAAATTGTGCTCTGTATGTGTAATAAGAATTATAATGCGTTCTGCTGACATATATAAATAAAAAATTTAAAAATAAAAAATAAAATCACAATACTAATATTTTCAAAAAAGCCTGAGTTAAATTCACTTCCAAGTATTGTATAAACCATGTTACATATCATCCTCAGTACCTTTTGAAAATGACCCTACCTACTGATTGAGAAGTCACAGAGTTGGCTTTACTTCAGAGGAATACATATCCACACTTAAAATTTCCTCCTGCCCTAATTCACTACTTCTATATTTCACCTTAATATTGCTAGGAACTATTATAGATGCTGTACATATCAACTCTTTTAGTTCCTCACAACTCTCTAAGTTAATTCATTTTATTGGCTCCATTTCCAGATGTGGAAACCAAGGCATAGAGAGATTAAATACCTCACTAAAGGCCAGACAAAAGTAAGCACTGGAGTCTTTCTAGTTTTAATACCATGGTGTTAACCTATTGCCTCTATTACTGTACGTCTCTTGAAGTATGGCTTAAGCTCCACTACTTACCGGTTCCAAGAAACAGAACATGGTATCTACCATCCGCAGCATTCACTCGGTCCACAGCGATCTTCGTATACTTGTAGTCCGTGCCTATGCGGACAATCAAAGGCCGCCTGTGGATTGGGTAGATGGAATTGTACATCAGAGGATGGTTCCGAATGAAAGTGACAACATCATCAGGGAACTCCTTGGTGGTTCGCATGTTGGGCGTAAATGCTCCTCCTGGGCACTAAAACAGAACAAAACAAAATATATAGAGAATGAACCAAGTTAATAAAAATGGTTACTCTATTTTAGTAATAACTGAGATCTCTTTTTCAAAACATTTAAAGCTCCAGTTGTTTAAAGTGCATTTGCTATCCACTGAGAAAATAAAATTATATATATATATATATATATATATATATATATATATATATATATATAGATATAGATATATATCTGCAGAAAATTAGTATCCAACGTGTTAAATTTGATCATTGAATGAAGCTAAGTCCACAATATCTACCCTATTTGTTTTCAGAGAGGAGCTGTTGCCATAATATTTACTGTTTTGATCTGTCATTTTTATGTTTCTTATTTTTCACCCTGACACTATCATGATATAAAAACCAAAATTGTGGACAAAATCTAATGGTTCTGTTGGTTAATATCAATTAGATGGCCATTATCAAAGTCAATCAGTACTCACATGTAAGAGTTTTGCTCCATCTGACCTCTAGTCCTAAGAGGAGGTGATCTCAGAAATTGGAACTTAGGTTCGATATGGTAAATTAGACCTGAAATTCTCCTCTGGAAAAGACTCCAGACATGTTCACTTAATGCCTTACAAGCCCCTACATGACCTGGCCTGGGCCTGCCACACCTATTGTAGTTCTTGCTGTACCTGAACTTCCAGCATGCTTGCCCTCCCGGATTTTGGCTCCTGCTGTTGTTCCGCATTGGTCATACTTTTCTCCAGCCTGTTCCAAGGCTTTCTCTGTGGCCTCATTTAGTTATCAGTTCAAAAGTTGCTTCCTTTAAGGTGATGACACACAAAAGTAGCTCCCCCACTCCATCTCTACCATCTATCTCCTTAGCCTATTTTTCTTCAAACTCTTTCCCTAACAGTATGTTGCATATTAACTGCTTGTATCTCTATTATCCATTTCTCTCTCTCCAATGTAAGCTGTGTGCTGAGAATAACTGGATCTATATTGTTCATTGTTCTCAGACCTATACCAATAGTGGTAACAGCAGATATTTGACCAAGAGGAGTTGAATGAGTGGAGTACATGATTCACTCTATCTAGCCTGCAATTTTGGTACAAGTGCTATATGAAACAGATTCTCAACTCCGCCCAGGAGAAGAGAGATTCAGAGCATCCATTTCAAAGGGGCAGACAGAAAGCAGTAATGAGATCTAAAAACAGACTGCTGGGCAGCTTCGGCAGTTCTGGAAAGGAACCCTGACAAGGGCTTCTGAGGAGAAGCTTCCTAAATGTAACATTAACTAAGGCCAAACTTAAGAGTAGGATGGGAGCTGCTGAAGTTTGAAACTTAAACTCCCTCATTAACTAGGAGCTGACTGTGACGTTATATGAGCATTGCCGTTGAATATGATATTTTAACATACATAAACCTTATTTACCTAACCTTATTAAATGCTTGACAATATTTCTACTTACAGAAACAAAAATATTTGAGATTTTTTTTTCTTGAAATGCATAGCACTCCTGTTGTAGTTTTCACTATCCTCATTACAGAATTTTAGAGTAAAAGGGGAATAAGAAAGCCAGCTTCCTGATCAATAGCAATGGGTACAACATCAGTAGTAAACTCCAGGATATAATGGGGGCTATTACCAACTGGACAGTTACACCTTAGCTAAAGGTGGCTATGGTCCCTTATGATCAGCTATTACTGCTATTCAGGAACATAAGCCTAGTGCTGCCAGGTTTCACCAGACGATAGAAATGCAGAATGCTGTGTGAAATTTGCCAAATCTTTAATTGTTGACTCCATGAAAAAGGAAAACAACTTTGGGGTTCAAACAAAATATGACAACCTCTAAGTTGAACCCTTAATAGCTATCTAATGGCATTAGTACTTTTGGGTCAGTGTTGCCAGACAGACTTGCATTTTCAAATACATCATCAGATTACTTGTATGATCTCACTTCATTTAGTCAGTATCAGCATGATACAATTTTCACACTAACTTGACCAACTGGCATTACTAGAACTTTTTTGTTTTTTTTTTTTTTTTTTTTTTTAGGACCAGTAAATCTAATTCTCTTTTTTGGACAAAGACTCAGAGAAAAATTAAATGGCTTAACAAAGAAGACACAATGACACAAATAATAATAAGGAGCCTCATGCTCCTTATTCCATTTTCTGTAGTTCATATGTATTTCTTTTAAGGAAAAGCATCATATTTAAATAGACATATTTATAAATTCCCCAGAATGAAGGGCAAAATGAGGACAAAGAATTTAATGAGAGGTTTTTCTAAGCTGGTAGATGTGCTCCATAATTCTTTACAGTATGGAATTATGGGTGTCTTCTACTCTCATTCTTCACACCAAGTGGAAAAAGGGAGATACATTGCCTACTGAATGAAAACATGGAAAGAACAGTGCATGGGCAATTTAAATGGTTCCAGACCTTCATAAAACACCACTAATTACGGTTTGCTAGGCTGAGACATCTCCATAAATATTTGCAAGCATTCTCCTTTGTAAGTTCCAGAAAGATCCAAAGTTAGTGTATATTACTAGGCAGTTTTGATCATTTCCAGTTAGTACAGATTGGTGTATGAAGAGCATATTAAGTTATCAGTATCTAATATCTGCTCTTTACTCAAAGATAATTGAAATTCAGATACAAATTATGTCAAGATTGCTCAAAACCACAGTTTTAATAAGGTAACCCTAATAAATCAAATCAAATATATACTTCGCATTCAATTACTCCCCTTACATTTGATACTTTTGTTGTATAATATTCACAATCAACTTCTTTCTTAGGAACAATGTCTCCTAGCATGAGTTTATTTTTAAATTGACAAAAGAATTAATTTTTATAGTACTTATTTATTTCATTAATTCATGCATAAACTGTGTAGATAAATTGTAAAATGATGGATCAAATGGTGATGAGAACAAAAATAGATTTACCTTTTGTGGACTCTATCTGTCTGGTAAATTTGGCTTAGTATAACATTCCCAAGTAAAAATCAGATGTGATTAACTTTCTCCTCATCTTATGATAGAGCACATGTGTTGAAACCTCCACTTAATGTAACATCCATAGTCTATCATAAATAAAACCCTTTATACATTAATTAGGCTAGTGTCTCATTCTTCAGAAGGTTCATTTTACTCTACAAATAGCCAGTAAGCAATTTTGGTTAAACTGTTCCTTTAAGTGTTTGCTTTTATTCAGTCCTTCTTTCTTTCTGTTTGTCAGCAGTGATAAGCAGCATTTTTTTTCCAGTAAAGACATTTTAAGTATTCTTAAAGTGTTAGATGAAATGCTATGAATAATCATGTTAAGGAAGTATCAATAATGATTGTCCTTACCTAATTCTTTCCTATACTCCTGTGCCTTCTGGTTCTCCACAATGTTCTCCTAAACTTCACATCTATTAAAGTTTTCTAATAATATAGTTACATATTAACATATGTGTGTGTGGTCTTTCTTTGTACATCCTCTATTAAAAATGAATTTGGATATGCTCAGTACAGGACGGCTAGTAAGAAATTGCTGTTGCTTTCTAGACACAAATTCTCAAATAACAAATTCAAAGCAAAACTACAACTAAGAAACAGAGTAATAATATCAGACAAATACAAAATAAATAACAGAGCTTAGTTCAGGATCAACTGTTGTATATACTTAAGAGCCAATATTTTTAAAATGAACTTTGAACAGTGGAAAACTTCAGGCTGCCAGGGTCAGTGCAGAAGTTTAGAGATGAGAACACAAAGGTTGAAGTATTTAGGGAACTGTATGTAATTCCTGGGGCACTCAAGCAGATGGTTCTGCTATACTTATAAATACATATTAAAATTGAACACTTTTATTAGGTTCTGCTTTAAAAGGATATGCAGTATATACAAAAAACTATCTTCTGCAGAAGGTTTATACATGTTGCAACAGAATAAAGTAATATGTAAGCTGGGCCAGGGAGAGAGCCTGCAGTCTTTGGCTGCCCTTCGCAACATACCAAAGGTGTCTTGTTTCTTCCACAAACTTGAATTACTTATGGAAAAACATTGTGACAAAATTGGCAGGCTTCCTCCTACTGACTTGAGCTTGCTGGTTGGGCCTCTCCTAACACCACTATCAGCTCTGCTTTAAAAGAAGCACCTACAGGGAGCATTAGAATGAGGGTATAGGATTTCTGCCAGTGTCATTTCTCTAAGAACACAGTCATATATTTATGGGGTTGACCCGGCAACCAGACTACTGTGTCGGGAAATAAAGTACCATGATCACAGTCCACCGTTCGCTGGGAGGACTTCAGAGGCAGCATTCTTAACCCAAGAGGAGACGGAATGCTTTGGGGCACTTGGCTGCAGATCCTCTGGCTACATGAGCAGGAAGCCCAGGCAAGAGACAGATCCTGGCCACTCTGAGTCAGAGAGCTGACTTCATGGTGTTTTGCTCTGTGAAGGGTGGAGGGACCAAGTCTTGAGGGAAGGATGCTTTTCCAGGAGGAATGCCAGAGGTCACTCCTCCACCCTGCCTTTTTTATTCCCTCAGGATCACTCAACTGACAATTTTTTGATTTAAAGGAGCTGTTCTGGTCTCAACACCAGATGTACGAAACCACATTATAGAAAAATGTCTGACATATTGACTACTCCCTTTTTCATGGAGTCTGTTCCAGATGTGTGTCACTAAGCCCTGGCTTATTCTACACTGCTTCAGAATAGGGAAGAGCTAAAAAAAAAAAAAAAAGGAAGAAAAAATGAACAGAGCGACTGTTAGAAGAACTTTCTAATTTAGCATTGGTTTGTTGTGTTTTACTAAAAAGGGCTGATCTATTTGCACATTTTGTAGAATGTTTGCTTCCAGACAAGAGTGGTTTTCTCATTATGAACCAGAGCACTATTCTTATGGTAAGGTAGCTTTTAAGTTTCCATGTGGATAAAGAGCCTGATGAGAGGTGAGGACAGAGATGACTTTTCTTCAGGAAAACAAAACAAATAAACAAACAAAACATAAACCCTGATTTGTAGCATTTGCCAATTTCCATGGTGTAAATGCTCCCATCATGGCCAATTTCAAATTATTACTATAAAGCTGGGCATGGCAGTGTATGCCCATAATCGCAGCAATTGGGAGATCTGAGTTCAAGGCCAGCTTGAACAATTTAGCAAGACCCTATCTCACAATTTAAAACACATAAAAAGGTCTGGGGATATAGCTTAGTGGTGAAATGCTGCTAGGATCAATCCCCAGTGCTGCAAAGAACATAAACCAAAACAAAATTCAAACTCAAGTTACTATGGTGATGTTCCTAACTAAGAAGAGATGCAGGTAAAGTAATATACTTAACATAATCTGTTCTTTGCAGTGGATACAAGGTGTCTCCAAAACTCTCTAAAGGAAGACCTGAAGCTTCAAACCCTGATTTAACCAGCATAGTCATCTTTCTTCTGTTTTGTTGGTTTGTCCCAGGGTTTCAGGGTTTCTCCAAAAGTTTTTTGTTTTTAGTGTTTTGTTGTTGTTGTTGTTGTTTGCTTGTTTTTGTTTTTTGATTGTTGTTGTTTTTAGTGGAGGAGATTAATTTTTTTGAGTTTATAAATCAGTTGCTCCTTTACTAATCCCATATATACATGTTCAAAAGAGTCATTGAATAAAGTATATTCAGTAACAACTACCTCTTAATTGTCTGTACTAAGATGAAGCTATGATTAAAGCAACTTCAAAAATATGATATGTCCTTGAGTATGGTATCAGTGAGCCTTCTGGAAATGAAATACTGTGAATGGAATAATGGGAGCCTTTCACTTGAAATGGGATTTGGAAGTTGCTCAGCATTTCCCCCCTCCTCTTTTCTTTTGTCATCTTTAATTTATCCAACTCCTCAACTTGAGGAACCCTTAAGTGGCTATTTCAGTTCTTTCTTTTCCTTGCATTATACAAAATAAACAAATGTTTTATTCACCTTCTTTTGAGCTGTAAAGGAGAGACGATTTAAAAGAATATTGTGAATACTATGATATGATGCTACCAATATGACTATGACTTTTAAAATTGTAATGTTTTGAGAAATAAGCAGCAATTCTCATATTTTTCCCAAATTAAAGGTTAATGATTCTACATAAAATACATATCAATGATTTTTTTCTTTGAGATGCTGGAAAGGGAACTAAACTCAAGCCTCTTAATTTTAAATAAATAGTCTCCTTAAATGTACGAAAATAATTTTTTCCTATTGAAAAGAAAAAACTTACAGCAGGATAATTTAAGACAATGATAAAATAAATGAGTAAGTAATACATTACAAATACACTCTAGTAACATAAAAATAAAGTGAATCAACAAATAAAAATTACATGGGGTGAATATCTGAAAAAATATTGTTAAAGGGAATTTCAAGTTAAAGTAAAAAGAAAAAAAAAGTTTTGTCAACAAAATAGTATGCTAGCTATCTTTTTTGATTTAAATCTTTCCTGTCCAAAATTTATAATACTATTCTAAGAAATGCAGAAATATTGGAAGATTATATTTCTCTTGAATATCAACTGAATAACATCTTTCAAATGATGTTCTATATGACATGTTACAGATTGAGACACTAATTGATATTCTAAAAAGCAGCATAATTATAGCACTGGTGAAAAACAAACAGAAATTTTTTAACCAAGTCCCAGAAAAAAGTTCAAAACTGGTCTGCAAATGCACTGTTTATAACTCAGTTGGAGAAATTAGTCTTAAATCTATCCTTTACTATTATTAATATTGCATGATACAGAAACATCCACATGCTTCAAAAACAGGTGATTTCTTATTAGAAAGTTGAATATGGTTAAAAAGTTCTAATTTGCATGTTGTTTTGTACTATATAACCATTTTATTTGAATTATACTTTCACCTGTATTGTAATTATCTGCTTATACATACCAAACATTTTGTCTAAGGAAAATATAAGACATAATTATTAATTAAATACATGCCTAAAATTTGAAATATCTCCCTGTTATCTCTAAATTAATTCTCATATGGTTAGTCCTCATTAAAACAGATGAGATTTCTTAATACATGAAACTGTTGTGAAAATCAATTACCATTCAAATTCTTAGGTTTCCACTGAAAAGTTACCACTTTCAAAGTTACATTTACTATGCCATTATAATTATGAAAATTCTTTCCTGTATGCCTTGCATAGTTATTCTGAAATCTTAATGAGATCTTGTTAGAAATAGCACTTACAAAAAATATACAGAGCACTCTGTAACATATATGACATATTAGTTAAATCCCAAATCAGAGAATCCTTGAGCTGAAAAATTATAATGAGCATACCTAAGTCTCTACTTATATTTAGTAAATGTCAACATGATATTCAGATCTTGTTCATTTTTTTTTTAATGCATGATGACAAAGAAACTTTCCTGGATACTTACAGTTCCAGGGCGAGGGTATGGAATTCTCCCCTGATAGGAAATCAGCTGATGATTGGGCCCTTCTTTGTGGGCAAAAGGCCCATTAAACACAGTCTGTATATCAGATAAATGATACACACACACGGCTGAACCTTTAAAAACTGAGCTGTAAATAAAACAGAAAGAGTCCACGTTATTTTTATAATGTATTATAATTTGAAAACAATGGTAAAGTTTGTGAAAAAAGGTTTATATAATTCCTCATGGAAAATTTGAACACTATGGTGCACATGTGTGAAGATGAAAAACTACTGTTTTGAAATAAGGCATTGATACATAAAGCATTAAAATATTTAATTTATCCATGGAAGTAATGGATATTAATAAGTTATTGAAAAGTTCTCATTGTTTCTGAAAAAATAGGATAAACAAGCTTCTAACTAGTTTATCTTAAATACCACCAAAGATTTACTAATAATTTTGTTTAAAAATATTAATGTGAATTATTATTTAAATGTGAGAGTGTTCTCACATGCTATCCTGAATAGTAGTTGAAAAAGCCTAACTGGTCATTATTTATACTCTCCCTGCTATTCACACATACAGAAAAAGGGGATCTAAGAAAGATTTATTAAATTTCCTTTAGTCAATAAAAATATCCTAAAATTTATTTGAATCCTTACTATGGCAGATTGGCTGAAACCAACACTTCTATGACTCACATATTTATTTGAAATTAGATGCCCAGTGGAAAAAGTATTGTGTTCCTATGAAAATAAACAAGATACATCATTATTCAGTAGCATTAATAGTCTAAAATTATAATTTTGAGTTTTTCAATATTAGAGCTATTGAGTATTAGGAAAAAAATAACTAGGGAACTGTTCTTCCTCTAATTAAAATTTCTTAAGATTTGGTTATCCTTTTCTTTGTTCAGTTTTTAGTGAGTTAAACTACTTCTTTGCTTGACAAAGAGTTTAAGCACATCTTGAAGGACATCGTTTTTGGACATCTTAGGAGGCAAACATAAGTTATTTAAAATCAATATTTTTGCAATTTTCTTTTCCTTTTAATAGCTCATGGAAGTTTAAAATTATACCATGATTTAACCCTCTTCAAAAAAGAATGCTAAAACCATTAGATCTTTGTTTTGTACTTGACTTCTGATAAAAAGGACCGCACACATCCTGCATTGGTTAAGTAGTCACAGCTGGAGTACAAGGCTGAAGTCAAAGTAACATCTCTAGTTTAAAGTTAATAAACAGGAATATGTGCAGGAAAGAGTGAGAATATGAGAAACTCTTGAAATATTTAATAACTGGTATGGGCATCCCAAAAAACCTAGGAAACGGTAAGTCTATTTGGAAATATATAAAACTATGTCATATTAACATAAAAACCGTTTTCCATTTTTGTTAGTTTCTAAGTATTTGTCACCATATTGTTGCAGAAAATTATTTTCATAGAAATGACAATTTTTTTCCCAGATTTACTAAAGTATAATTGGATACAAAAAAACTGCACATAATTAATGTATGCAATTTGGTGATTCTGGGCCTATGTCAACACCTGTGTTACCATGGCCACCATCCGGGTAAGAAATATATCCATTGCCTACAACAACAATGCCAAAAGTCTTACTGGAATCATGAGTGTTGAGATTATTTTCTCAAAAATAAAGTAATTTTATATATTTCATTTCTACAGTGTCATTCATATTTTCATTTCTTTGAGAAGATAGCTTATGATCATTACAAGTACTCTGTAAAGAATATTTTGAAAATATTTGTTTAGATCAAACATGTTTTGGTAATCTGGAAAAAGTAAATAAAATGGGAGGACTGCATCCAAAATACTATGGAAACATAAAAGGTGAAGAGAAGAATGCTTTCATAATAATAATACTGTTCAATAAAGTTTAGTGTTAAACTCACAAAATATAATTTTTTAATGATTACCTTGATGTTGTAAAAATGCCATACACTAGTGTTGTCCTTGGATTATCAGTTTCCAGCAGAAACACATCCTCTATAAAATGGAAAATGTTATTCTTTTAAATTTCCCAAATATTAATTGCTTTTGTTTCAATTATTTTAAGAAAACAGAAAATTTCAACTATCAAAAGTACTATGAAGAAAAATATTCCTGGATCATTTTTTATAATTTGGAAATAACTAAATGGTAAACATGTGGTAAATTAAATGTTACACAGACACTAAAGGGATTTCTGAAGACTGAGTCTCTCTGTGGAAACCATGCTAACAAAATAATATTAACTGGAAAAAGACACAGTGGTATATAATAAAGATTGTAATCATGTAAGCCATAAACTATATACCAAAATAGAAGAAAAGGTTAACGATGAATGTTCCTGACGTAGCAAAAGCTAAGGAAATCTTCTTGCTGATTCTTAGCTTCTGTAATTTTCTAAACATTCTTTAATGATTAAATATTAGATTTTTAAATTAAAAAAATATTACAAATCTTAATTTGTTTTTAACCTAGGGTAAGAGATTAGAATATGAAAAAAATCATAGTGACTTTTTAATATAAAATATTATGGCCAAAATTGACTGTGATATTTTTATTTAATGAAGCATTCCTCTATAAGACATTTAAAATATATTAAAGCAATGAGAAAGGTATGCGTATCAAAGTACAGTAGTCAGTAACAACACAAAATTAAATTTCTGATAGAAAATCCCAATTAATAATCAATTGCAATGAAGCTTGGTTTTAGTGACAATTTTACAAATATGATACTTGCTGATGAATATAATAGATGCATTTATTATAATTAATAATGAATTTATAATTTTCAAATAAATAAATTAATAAGCACTAATATTTCTATATGTGAATAAATGCTGACAATGTCTAGCTCTTGTCAAAAGAATAACACTGAAGCATGAACACTTGTAAATAATTTGGAGTAAAATAATGAGTGATCAGACTACTTCACAAAATGATACTTAAGAATTTTTTGTAGAAAAGTTGATACAGAAAATATTGTTGGCATGACCAACTAAATGAGTTTTGGGAAGAAGAACTATTTCAATTTTAAAACTACTAGAACCACTGAATTTTTCTATATTGTAATAGAGTTTGTTATTTATCTCATCACCTGCCTCATAATATGAGAATAATCAGAGTTTACATTTTAGTGAAGACAAAAGAAAGGTCATTTAAAATGGCTCTTATTAAAAATAACATCAGGATGCATACAAAGTTACTTCTTTTAAAGAGAACTGTTCCTTGGTAGAAAGGAATCAGAGTGTTCATTTTATTTGACCTTAAAGTATACTCCTCCTTATGTCATGCCTGGGATACTTGGTCTCAAGGTCAACAGCACAGCTAAGATGTGAGCACAAATCTATTTTCTACTCTTCTCTTTTCTACACTTTTCATTCAAATTCTTTCTGTCCATTGAGCTACAACTGTAAAAATGTGTATCTGTAATCCTATCAAACTGATCTTAAATCAGAATACCAGATACTCTAATACATGAAATACATATTCATTTGCAAAAATCCAAACATATCATTACCTATACAGAAATCATATAGGTACACCCCCACGTTTATGCATATACACACATTCATCACATATTATAAAACTAAATGTTTCATCAGTGCCCTTGAGCAAACTAGATTAAGAAAATACTTAAGAAAATACTTAAAGAAATTTATGAATGTTATCCACATCATTGGTTCAAATTGGCACATTATTTATGCTGAAAAGATCCATGGAAGATTCACCCTTTCCTGAAAGGCTATTAAAATATATGAACCTTACAAGTTCTCCATCAGAAACATTGTTCAATCTCACACCTAATTACCTAATTCATCGAAGTGTGTTTCTGGGCCATCTTCATCTGTGACTGAACATACCAGCCGCGCTTTTAAGAAGGTGGTCCACTTGTTGACAAGGCTACGCAGCCCACCAGTGTCATTCTAAAATTATTTTGAAACATAATTTAGATTTCTTCAGAAAATAATGAAGTGCATTATAAATTCAACATGGACTCTGATTACTTCAGGATTTATTATAATCTGAACAATGGGAAAGTTAACCATATTTGTCCATTAATAAAGGAAAATATTTAAGATTTATAGTACCTTATAGAATAGCTATAGTTTGTCTATATTCTCTTACAATATGGAATCTTCTAGATATTAATAAATTAGAATAATAACTTATGTCCTGACTTTAACAATTATATATTCATAAAATGTATGTAGAGTGAATAATTTTAATTTGATTTTTCTTGATAACACACTGTCTTTGATATAAACAAACTTTATTGTACACAGTGAGAGTTGGAAATTCTGTTATAGTTAAGACATTGGATATATCTTTATTTCAAATGGTCCCATATAATTCTGTTTTCCCCCCTTCATTTTTCTGCATGGTCACTTATTGTTTTTATCAGATGCTTGACTACACACATTTCTCTGACTGAGGCAGCAGGAATGGCATTTGGACCATTCACAAATAGTTTCTACTATTGACATTTTTTCCTGCATCTAAATGACTTTTGCTTTTTCTTCTGGCTTTCCTCTCTTGTTCCAAATGATTGAGAAACAGCTGAGTCCTGATCAGTAGAATATATGGAGATAAATTTAATACTAGAGAAATACTTTTTTCACAAAAGGATACTACTAAAAGTGAGTGTAATATTATAAAATTTCAATGAGAGGACATTATGGATTTTTTTGAGTGCTATGTATACTGTTGATACACAGAACATTTTATTTACTCCATAATTAGAACTGCATTTGCTCAAGCATTTATTGATTTTCAGTATTATAGACAGTTCCATAATAACTTTTGTTGAGATTCAATTGAATTTTATTCATAAGAATTGTTTTGTTTCTTTTAAAATAGATTATGAAGCTATTTGTTTGAATATTAATATATTGAATGGGTATGCAAAAATTAGTCAAAACTGTTCATTTCTATAAATCCACAATCCAAATATTTCTCTGATGATGTTTACTGAAACTGGGCATATTTATCTCTTGTGGCTGACACAAATAAACTTAATATTAAATGTCTTTTCTCAGTATTTTATTTGTAAAAGTTGATTTAAAATACTTGAAAATAAACTATTGGGAAAATATTTACATATTTTGGAGACTTTCTTCAAATTAAATAATACTTACAGGACAAATTCTAGCAATCATGGAATGAATCTGTTTTGTGCTCCTGTTATTGTCAGTCAGCTTTTCTTTGAAGAAGAAGTACACCTTAGCATCATTTGGATCAGTTCCATCAGGAATGACATGTGCATCCACAAACATCGGTTCTGGAAACAAATAGAAAGACTATATATACTCATGATGAAAACCCATCTACTTTTCTTCCAAGGAGACCACAGGCACATGTCTTTCCCATCTTTGGTACAGAAGAATAATTCAATGTTCACAGACAAAATTTCAAAAACCAGTATTTATATTCACTCAACATACCACATCAGGAATGTCAAGTACCACAAAGTAGAGCTATGATAGCTCAAAGTATTTTTTTTTCTGTCTGCAATACACTTTAGAAATGCAGCAAATGCACAACTTCTTTGTGCACCAATGAGTTTCGAAAATTGAAAAACTTTTCTCCTATTTATTTCCGATGGAATCTGATGGGTTGTTTTATTGAAAAAAAAAAGTTTGTTTTTAAAGTGCGGTTTTCAATCTAGTGCACATAAACACAAACTCATTGAAGTAGAATGAGGATTTGGGTCTCCAAATTCTGAAAAACACATTTTTCTTAAAATACAGCAAATGAAATGAAGGAGAAACTTCTGAAGGAAAAATATATTCATTTGAAGACATACAGGGTTTCTTTTTTCAAGAACAAAACAACTTTTAGAATACTCTATTTCCAGATGTACTGGAAGAATAATTTGAAGAATAAAGTGAACAATCAATGCTTTCTTGTGCTATCAGTGAAATAAGATGCTTAACTGTGGTGATTCATGCTTCACTGAGCAATGCTAAGTGAAGAGACAAATTTAGAGTCAGCTAGAAATTTTCCTCAGGGGGAAATGACAAAGGTCTTAGTGGTTTCTTCCTCCTTTAAACAACAGCAACTGATTGGAATCATACAACAGAATCAAATGCACATTTTTTTTTTATGTGAACTCCATATGACTTCAAGAATTGGAAACAGTTGAACAATGAGAATCACTGTTATCATATCTATGATTTCTATAAAATATTAGTGAAATATGGAAAAAATATGAATTTTATAATTTTTGAATCTAAACATAAAACAAATAGGTAGAATTCCTGAATATAACTTATCCATTATATCACTAATTTATGATGATTTTTACTTTAGGATTTATTAAAATGCATAAGCATTCAGATGAAAAAAAAAGCATATTTAATTATAATAAGTTACCATTCAATAGCTGGAGAACATGCTTGGGTATTGGCATGTATGATGAGTGTCACTATTGCTTTTAATTATTCATATTCCTATGACAATTATATGATGGTTAATAAGATAAGGAACTGCCCATTTATACTAAATATTTTAAATCACAGAGTACAGAATTATGATTGCTCATGACATGGCCTAACATTTCAGTTTATAACTATTCTTCTAGGTCCACAGAACTAATCTTAGTTTAAAGCAGGATACCAGAGGAAAAATGCTTAAGATGTTTTCTTACCACTCAGCCATTTGGAATTGTGTTGATCTGTTCTGACTGCATTCCTCTTGGTTAAACTTCGAAAAATAGCAGCATCTGTCCCCATGAAATCTATATACATTCCTGAGAAAAGCTCCTCATCTATGAAAAGGTAAAGCAATGTCAACAGAAACCTAAATTTTTTGAAGCTTTCTTAAAATTCAAGGAAAGTTTGTTAGTAGAGCATCTCAGATATTACAGAATGTTTGTAATGGTTAATCGGATTCCACTGTCTTTTGAATTTAAAAAAATGGTAAATTTTAATCTGTTTTTATTATTGCCTTTATGATTAATGTATGTATACACAAATTTTTTAAAAACTGAAATCTAAAATAAATTTTTCCTATACGAAACAAAAATTTCTGTCTTTACTTAATCTTACTAGTTATAAATTATATAATGTGTATCATAAATAGTAGATTTATTTTAAAATAGCTTAATTAATTGCTTTCCTTTTGTTTTTTTGTTTTTGGTACCAGGGATTGAACCCAAGGGTGCTTAAGCACTGAGCCACATCCCCAGCCCTTTTTATATTTTATTTAGAGAGAGGATTTCACTAAGTTCTTAGGGCTTCACTAAGTTGCTGAGGCTGACTTTAAACTTTTGATCTTCCTGCCTTGGCCTCCTGAGTTATTGGGATGACAGGTGTGCCCCACCATGCCCGGCCACTTTCTTCTAGTAAGTAAAAATAAAGCAGAAAACTTGGTTTCTAATTTTGGCAACCACTAACACACTGGGAATGAGGGATGAATCATTTAACACCTTGACTCTCAATCTTCTCATCTATAAAATATGAAAACTGGATTATGATCTTAAAATTGCCTTGAATATTAAAAAATTATATGATTTTACCAAATGCATTGAATACAATTGTTATTATTATTACTTGATGGCATGGGTCTATGTTAAAATTTTCAAAATAGTATTAATGATTAAAAGATTTATTCATTGAAAATGTATATTTTGACTTATAGAACTGGAAATTTCCTAGTAAAAACAGCATTTTTTTTTCAATTGTAATTTAGTCATTAAAAATAGAATATAGTGAGAATAAAGAAAATATATTCAAAAATTAAAATTATTTACTGTTATTAATAGTCTATTTAGATGTCTAATCTGTATAATCTACCACATTTAACTTAGTTTTGAAGACCCATACTACTTTTTATCCTAATAAGAGAAGTCAGCCTTGCACTGGTAAGAAATAAGAAGCAAAGCAATCCTTGAGTATAAAACAGTAGCTAAGAATCTATTTTAAAAAGAATCGCCTTTATGAAGTCTATCCCACTGAACTGCCATGCAGCAGTTCTTTGACTGATGTTCTAGGATTACTCTCTTGGCTACCTTCAGATTGTGGTCATTTTGGCAGGACTGGAACATTTAAAGCACTCTAAGCTCACTGTTCAGTAATAAGCAAGACTAATAGGACAAAGATAGAATGGAGGGTGGAATATGTGGAATATGTGATCACCAGGTTATGAAATGGACCCCTACCAGTGAGCAAGCTGGTGTGGCAGGGCTTTTGCTCCCCAGGTCTCCTTCCTAGTAGGGACCCAGAATCCATGGAAACAGATTACATAGAGATAACAAAAATGTGCATGAAGGCCTTTTTGAGCAGTTCAACAATTTAAAATTCTAGGAACATTTGTATGCATATATACACATAGATTGACTGTTAAATTGAGATATCTTTCCCCTTTTTGTTATAACCAATTTATCATAAACCTTGGATTATAAATTCTTGCTGTTCAACAGACTGGTTAGCACAACTACTGATTACCATATATGCTTCAAGATAAAAAAGAAAAAGACACTCAAATATTGGTGTAAGGCTTATCTAATCCTATTATATACCATTTTAATAGTTATATCTCTAACTCTAAATAAGCTCATGTATCTGGTTGGCTATACTTTTTGTTTTAAATTTGCAGTTATTATAATAGGTTAGCAAAATTTTAATCATTTTTTATTACTAAGAAATATTTAGTTAATGTCACTTAGGAAGGAGTTTTGTCCAAGAGGAGGGTTTTATGTTTTTGTTTTTGTTTTCCTCAGATTTTTTATAGGGTTCTATGCAAAGATAAACTTGTATCTTTTAGATTTTATCCAAATACATTATGCCTTCTAATTTTATCTCTGATTTAAAAAATCTTCATGGATTTTTGTTTTTTTTTCCTTCATGGGTTTTTAATCATAGGTTCTATAAAAGTTAACAACTGACATCTCTGTTGTCCTATATCAATGACTAAAAATTGCAAAAGAATATTGAACTCACCACTAGTGTGATGTCCTATATTGTGACACTTTACATTCTAATTCTTAATGCTTTTTGGTATTTAATATATATAAGTGTTTTAGCCAGTCTGTATTATTTAGTGCATTGCAGTTGAATAGAAACAATAAAACCCTGTAACATGAGAAAAATGAAATGACCATGCAAATATTGGGGAAATTTTCACAGGGATAAATAAATGGACAAATAAAATGATAAATACAAGATTATAAAAATCATATTTTATTTTTTATTTTCAATTTTTAGTTAAGCAAATTATTTAATGTCTTTCCTTGATAATACAAATTGTAATGTTAAAAATATTAAAGGATAATGTAGGAGCATGAGCACAAGAATTCAAAATCTGTCTTTGAAAAATCAAGAAAACCAATATCTAACTCTCATTTGTAAATAATTCCAATTGCCTAGGGCAAAACTATTAAAGGGCTTATGATATTTTATCAAGAAAATTTATATTGCAATATTCTAAGCATTTTTATTCTAAACAATATTCAATAAGATGAAACCCAATTATTGCTATGTTAATGGATCTTTGAAATATATTTTCATAGACTTTAATTTGAAGTAAATGAAAACAATGTATTTATACAAACACACACACACACACACACACACACACACATATATATATATATATATATATATATATAAAACTACTGTTATACACATCATATAATTTTTATCTTGTATTCTAAAAGTAAATAAAATTTCAATACTAATGGAGAAAAGACTTTTCAAAACACTGTTATTATCAAATAATATTTGAAAACTTAACTGGAAATATTCTGCATCAGACATAATCAGGGAGTTATAGTTTCAAAGCTTTTGAACTTTTGTCCCATTGATATACTTTTGGCTTCTCCTTGCCCAGTTTGAATGACCATATGGAATTAATTTACTGGTTACTTTCAAGCTTACATTTAACTCAGTGCTTGGTGTATCTGTCTTAATTTAGTTACCAGATATCAGAAAGAAAGATGGGCTTCCTAAATACATGAATCAAGCAAAATCTGAACATAGTAATTATTTTTTCACCTGTTGCAGTGTCAAAGGATGGAATTTTACTACTGGTAATACATAAAGAAATCAAAGAGGAAATGTCATATTCTATACAATCACATACTGAAATCTAAGATTTGTCATATCTTAGATTATAAAAATGTTTTAATTAACCAGAAGAGAATTCTTTTAAGTGGGTCACGGAAAGCCATCCAATGATGGATGTTCAAAAACAATCTGTTAACATTGTATATATTGGCAAGTGATTGGATCGGCTCTTAACTGACATTTTCTTAAAAGTAAGAAAATGGAAAAAGAACCACCAACTCCTTTTAGTAATTTTTAAGCCAATTCTCAGAGATGTCTTTGGCTAACAAATTACTTTATTCTCCTTTAATTTGAAAGAAATACCATATTTAATTATTTATAAAAGGACTACTAATACATGCAAAAAGAGGATATACTTAAACTAGTAAAACAAGTAAAGAAAAAAATCAAAAACTATTTTGAATTAATGTTAATATCATGTTAGCCTTCTTTATTATTTTATTTCCCTCTTTTATTTTTTACTTACTGATCATAACAGATACAGTGTTCACATTGGGGTTGAAAGAGCATCGTCCTTTTCCAGATTCACACTTGGAGTCAATCATGAAAACTTGGTCCTTTGTTGTAGATAAAACAGAATATGATAATAACATTATAAATATAATGAGATATAATAAGAACAAGTTATTTAGTCAAAACAGTTGTTCTTTAGAAAAACAAAGCCTCATTAAAAACAATATGCTTTCTACTTGGTTGCTTATGCCTTCCCAATTTACTACAGTAAGACCTACTTGTCCTATAAAAAGAATCCATCTGTAAATTAGAAGCTAACCTCAGCAGGTCTGGCTCGCAACCTATTACATTTCCCATAGAGCTGATCCAAGCAGGTGTTCTCCTCAAATCAACATCACCAAAAATCACTTGAAAATCAAGGATCATTATAAATTTGACTAGATGTGTTGAACTATAGCCAGAAGAAGAAAATTATCCACAGAAGAACAATGTAGGTAAGGACTGAAGTATTTCTAAAATTATCAAGACATTTTTTTAGAAAAAATAAAATTTTATGTTGCCACTTAATTTTGTTCTATAGAACACTTTATAAGATTCAAATTAACTAATAACAAAATTAAAATAGGTCATGAAGTCATTCATTTTTTTAAACAAAAATGTATTGAGCATTTCCCTTCTGCCAGATGCTTGTATTGGAGATACAATAACCAAAATACACAAAACTTTGCCATCAAAGATTCTGACAAGAGTATCCTGAATGAGGAAAAGAGAAATTAAAGAGAAAAAAATATATAAGAAAAATATAGAGTATGTTAGATGGTGTCCAGTGCCTAAAAACAAAATTAAGCTGATAAAGGAAGTTGGGAAGACAAGAAATAAGGGACAATAGGTTTAATATAAAATATGGATGCCAGCGAAGCCTTGCTTAGGGGGGACATCTGGTAGGTACACAAATTTACCTTTATTTTATATAAATTTAGCACAAGCAACTAATAGAATTCAAAGGAATAAAAAGTTCACTTTTGTAGGCTGCATGATGAATGACCTTAGTTATTAAGTTAAGGTTTTTGAAAATTATTCTGAAAAAAGAGACCCATTATTATTACTTTTTGCATATGAAAAACAAAGAATCAAAACTCTGATCCAAGAAGGTTTGATGGTATCTTGAACAGTATGAAGAATGGAATTAGAATATACAATGGATTAAGGAAAATATTTTATTTGCAAAGGTCTGAGAATTAGACGATAATCTGACATGTCAATGGTCATGGTAAGAGCAGTAGAGATGTAAAGAATTTGTATAATCAACAGAGTGGCAATCAATTAGAAATTGGATATCATTCAAGAAGATTAAAAAATATAAAAAACAACCTGAAGTTTTGATTCCTTAAAAAAAATAAAACTAGTTGATTTTTGTTAAAATGAGTTTGATATACTGTTGGACATCCAGGAGGCAACAGGAAATTATAAAGCTTAGAAGAAATCATAGTACTCTAAGCTTAAAAACATGATTCTCTTCAGTGGATTCATGCTAGACATGATGACAAGATTGCTTTCCCAGCCATATTAGTTAGAGGGGCAGAATTCAACTTCAGTCTCCTAGTTACATCTGCTTTCCAAATGAAATAATTATAAATATGAGGAAAAACAATAAAATTTAGAAAGCCTAATTTTGTTTTAGAGTCAGAGACAGGTTTCAGTAATATTTTTCAGGTACCATTTACACTAATATATCCACTAAGACATGAGAAGAACTATTTGTTTAACTTTGAGGCCAAACCTTGCTTTGAATTTCATCTTATCTTCAAAGTCACCTTGTATTTTTCTTATGTTCTTTCTGTTTTTTTTTAAATATATACTTTTATTTTATTAACTGAATCCTTTATATTATCATCTGAACTACCCTTTGGTTCCTCTGGATCACAAATGTGGACCCTATTTTTCAAAGAATTACACACATACTCATCAACGTTTCTGATTTTTCACCTTCTTCTCAATTTACTTACATTGTGTTCCAACCTCAGTTGTTCTATGGAACAATTTTTGATGAGATCTTCAATGACAATCATAGTATACAATTGCCTGAACTAGTCTGGAGGGCTCAGTGATCTCCCATCTCCCAAGTACTTGGATTAAGAAACAACACTTTTCAAACTTCATCTCACTTGGGTTCTCAATAGTTTCCAAAATTGGTGACCACTTCTATCTTTTTAAAATAACTTATTTTTCTTCCTAGGACCAACACATTCTTGTTTCTTCCCCTTCTTCTCTGCCGGCTTCTTTGAAGTTTTGTTTTCAAGTCCATATTCCTCCATGTGGCCATTAAAGTTAGTAGATCCTCAAGTCTCCAATGCAGCCATTCTCACGCTACACCTTCTCTGCTTGATTAAACTAACGCTTTTATTGTATCTAGTTACTCTTATAAAACATTTTTTCACACATCTTTATATCAACCTCACATTCTCCTATACACTTCATAGTTCTAATTGGGTCTTTCTGTGGCATCTCAGACTCAACAGACCAAACTCAGACCACAATCCTTACCCCTAATTTGGTCTCTTCACTGTTTGTTACCTCAGTTCATAGGAACGAACAATTAAAGCTGCTGAAAACAACAACAAAAAGTTGCCATCAGCATATATTTTCTTTTCCATATTCAAATTCTACCAACATCATCTATACTACTCTGTAATTTGTGCCTCTTGGTCTCCATTGCCACCATCTGAATACAATAACCTCTTTCTTGGAATGCTACATCAACTCTCTATATCAACTAATCTCCCCAGACTTCTTCCAACCTCACCCTTCACACCCTAAATAATTTGTAACATGACAACAGAATTCTGTTTGTGCCATTTCTGCTATTTTTTGCCAGTTCATGCCATTTCGTGCCAGTTACTTCTTTGATACACACAGAGAAAGACCAATCAATGTCTTCAAGTTAGCCTATAAATTCTGACATTATTTTAATTCATTTTCTTTAACTAAATAGCATTTGTGGTTTGAAACAATAAGAGAAATGGGGCCAGAATGTAAATAGGTAGTGAAAAATAAGAAAGCATAACAAAGTATCCCATGCTCATAGACACTGACAAATATGTTGAATAATATATTTATTTTTTTCCAAGAGTTTGTTATAGATTAGTCCAGGAGAAGGCATACTGACAGAGTCAATTTGGCCATTGGGGAATCTTGGTTATTATTCAAAGACTTTTTGTTAATGTGTGTACTTGAAATGAAAGTTATATTAGCAAATATTTAATAAAGATATGGAGAACTGGAACTTAAAACTGGAAATACAGCCCAGAAGCCTGAGAAGCTTTGTAATGAAGAAAAGGAAGAAAAGGGCGGTGTTGAATAAAATTGGTGATTTTAAGGAAAAGGAACATAGTCCTATTTTTAAACTGCAAAAAAAAAAAAAAGTAAATTCAGGGGAAAGGAAATGAAAATATGAAACAGTGAATGAAGAATACTGATCAAAGAACTCTTATTGATAAAGAAAGTGCACAACTTTTCTTCTAAAACAGGAGAAAAGCTATAGAAAGGATGCCTGAATGAACTAGTTTGGCGATTGGTCTGCTTCAACAAGCACAGGAATAGGATGCCTGTGATATTGTTGATCAGTCAAAGGTATCTGTATGAGCTTCAGTGGTATTAAATTATTGAAATAGATGTTATAGAAATATCTGATGAAATCAGCCAGAGATGAAATGTGTTAATATTTCAAAAATTTTCAGCCAAATTACTAATAGCTATTTTTTTCTTCATGTTTTACTCATTAGTTCGACACCATGGTTTACTTGTGTTGCTTTATCTTTTTTTATCTTTTTTTCAGGAACAGAAGATAGGATTAAGGACAAGGGATAGAAGAGAGAACCATGGCTAGGTCTCCATGTAGCAAGGATTCTAGGCTCTTTGGATGAACACTGTTGAAATGTTGTAGGACAGCTCTGAATCAGACTGAAAATAATAGGAGAGTGAGAAGTTATAATGAAACTGTAGAAGAATCCAAAACTGAGGTAGGCTCATAAAATATGCTCTTACAACCAATGAATTTCTGTGAAGATGGGCAGCTGAAATGGAAGGTGATTGATGGCTCTAAAGCAAAACTGAACGAATAACAACTGCAGACCTAACCTTTTCAAGTTGGTTCTGAATACATGAAAATTGTGCTATCTTAATATTAACACAGGGTGTTAGCAGTGGTTCCTACCCCCATTCATTACAAAATACAAAACAAACTATGAAGAAGGAGAAGGAGAATTTTCTCAAAATACAATGTTGTTCATCATGTGATAATTTTATGATAGGAGATCCTTCATCTCAGAGAAAAAAAATATCCAATATTTGATAAAGTTTTGCAGTACTTTACTCACATTTTAATTTATATGCTGTACTTACATATCAACAATGCTATGGTAAGCTTTTTGACTATTACTATAAGGCAAAGGTGATTGTTAAGGTAAAGATACAAAGCTTAAAAATCCTAACTCTTTATATACCTAAATTGTCCCTCAAAGTGTTCATATATTACTTGAGAGACAGAATTAATTCATGGAAAAGCTTCCCCCATGGAAGCCTGTCTTGAAGTGAAGCTAAGGTAGCAAAGTGATTAAAATTTATTTCATGCTGGTTTTCCAGAGCAGATCATTTTTTTAAAACAGACTTTCCAATTAAGACTTGAAGTTATAGTAGACAATTTGTATATGGAAAAATGATTTTATTTGAAATCTGTGCTCTGAAACTGTTACAGCGTGGTTGGTTTGTACAGTGACTGCATGGACTTCGAGGCATGTCTGACAGATTGCAGACATGTAATCAGTAGTTTATTTAATCAATTGATCATAGGCATGTGGTCCTCATGACTAGCTCAATGCAGCCAACTGTATTCTTCCAATAATGCATAACTTTATTTTTGCTTTAAGAATTTTAATATTTCATAGCATCTTGAATGATATTTGGAAAAGTCTCTATTGGGGATTAAATTACAATTATTCAGTTGTTTTTAAATGACTTTTTAAAAAAGATGTGTGAATCACATATCTGAAAAGGTAATTTAATAATAAGGGAATAGTGAAGGATTGTTGTTCAATTTTATTAGTATTAAAGTAGATTAATTCTTATTAAAAGAAAATATACTTTATGAAGCATATGAGTAGAAATATTTATTTTTTTCATAAATATACTCTCTAAAATTGAATTAAGTCATTATTTAATAACCGAATTTTTTAAAAATATTAAGCTCCATAATTAAACTAAATAAAGATAGTTTGAAAGAATTCATTTTTAATAATAATATTAAATAAAACAATGTGCTTGAGTAAAAGAATAAAGAAAAATTCTTTTGGTGTAATGCATAGCCTCCTTAGTCAACAGTTGTTGACTAAGATAATAAACATAGTCTTAAATATCACTGTTGAAGTTCAACCAGCTTGATATTTGACTATATGGTGGGAATATATTTGACTAGTGTATAGCAAACACCATATCATAATGCCCCATGTCATTTTAACTAATGAAAGAACAGGGCAAGCACAGTCTAGTGTAAAGCAATTTTAACCTTGAATTACAGGATGATTTATTAATGTATAAGTTCTTCAAAAACATTCGGCGTCTTGCTTTATACATATCTTACAGATATGCATCACATAAAGATTTACTGAACTTGAATGATAAATAGAAATTATTTAAAATATATTTAAGAAAGTAAGTTTATATAATGTTCTATAACTTGGAGCAAGTATTTTCAGTGCTTTACATTTAAGAAATTATGAAATTTTGCCTTTTCCTTTTGTCTTCCATAGCTTTTACATTTAGAAATAAAAATAAACATGTATATACATACATATATATATATATATTTCTTTTTTTGAAGTTGTAGCCCAAAGACTATATACCTAAACTAACTTGGCAGACAAAAACAAAATTTAATATACTTTGTGTTTTAAAAAGCATAAAACCACTTTAAGGACATTAATATTTCTGAACTTTTACTCTAAAATACCACTTTAAACATCTTTGACAATAGCATCAAAACTAAGAAATATTGTGAGGGCCACATTAACGTCATTAATGTTAGCTTACCTCTGACCTCCTCCCTCTGTTCAGGTAAGTGCAAACTGGGCTGAAAGCGCCACTGCCACAGACATACAGATGAGTGCGGTTGAAAGTCTGAATTACACGGACAAAGTTCCCACAGCCATGCTAGAAGAAGTGGTAAACATGTACTTAGTAATTAGTGACTTCTGTTAAGTCTACCAGCTGCATTCACTTTCTTTTTCTTTTCAAACTTGTTATATATGACAGCAGAATGCGTTAGAATTCATATAACACATACAGAGCACAATTTTTCGTATCTCTGGTTGTATACAAAGTGTATTCACACCATTCAGGTCTTCATACATGTTCTTAGGTAATGATGTCCATCTCATTCCACTGTCTTTTCTACCACCATGTGCCCTCCCTTTCCCTCCCCACCCCTTTGCCCTATCTAAATTTCATCTAATCCTCTCATGTTCCACCTCCCTACCTATGAATCAGGCTCCTTATATCAGATAAAACATTCGGCATTTGGTTTTTTGGGATTGGCTAACTTCACTTAGCATTATATTCTCTAACTCCATTCATTCACCTGCAAATGCCATGATTTTATTCTCTTTTAGTGCTGAGTAATATTCCAGTGTGTATATACACCACATTTTCTTTATCTATTCATCTGCTGAAGGGCATCTAGGTTGGTTCCACAGTTTAGCTACTGTGAATTGTGCTGTTATAAACACTGATGTGGCTGTGTCCCTGTAGTACACTGTTTTTAAGTCCTTTCAGTATAGAGCAAGGAGTGAGATAGCTGGTTCAAAAAGTGGTTCCATTCCCAGTTTTCCAAGGAATCTCTATACTGCTTTCTGTATTGGCTGTACCATTTTGCAGTTACCCACCACCCCGACCCCCCAGCAATGTATGAGTGTGCCTTTTTCCCCATATCTTCAACAACACTTATTGTTTTTTGTATTCTTAATACCTGCCATTCGGACTGGAGTAAGATAGGTAACAAGGTGACATCAAATTTCGATATATTGTTCCTTATCTTTGAGAAACTATGTGTACACATAAAGGTAATTTAAAAATACTCATTTAAATTGTGTAAATCCAAAATTAAATATTGAGATTTGATGCCTGAAAAAAAAAAAAAAAAGCAGTGACTCAGGCATAGGGACAGAAATGTTACAGAAATTGGACCTCAACTAATATTGACTGAGTAACAACAGTAAATCAAGTTATAGTCTAACTTTTTGGTTAGTAAATTAACAATGATGAAATCATCATTCAATTATTTTAGTAAAATAGTATTAGTATATTGCTAATATACTAGTGTTGTTAGTATCTTTTGTATAGAAATATTACAAAAACAATACCTTGCCTACTATTTGCTGAGTACCAACTGTGAGCCAAGTTATAGTCTAAAATTTGGGGCATTTTCAGTGAACAACACAGGCAAAGATCGCTACACTGTAGAACTCCAATGGACAAAGTTGCCATACATGACCTGTTTTTGCTATTTTTATTTAAATCTCTACTAATTTTAGCAATTTATATAAAAATGCTGTCAAATCTGTAAATGTCAGAGCAAGGTAAATATAATTTAGACAAACTTTGGTATACCTTTTTCTAACTTTTTTTGTTATTACTGTCAGAAAATATTTGAGGAAATAATAAAAGAACAACAAGGTTTAGTCTGTTGATTTATCTCATGAAAGTGCTACTTTACCTCTGATACTGATTTACTATATGTTTTCATGTTTCAAAACATTATAAACTTGCTTTTTACCTGAGAAAGTTAAGAAATAGGGATGTGCAAAGTTTTTTTTTTTTTTTTTCTTAAAACATTAAACACACACTCTGCAAACCCATTTTGATTGAAATTGTTCTTATTCAGGTTTCATATTATTGTGAGAACAAAATAACAAACACTATTGTCCTTTGCAATTGGCAGATTACACTAACCTGTAAGAAGGTGGAATCATTTTGCATTCTATGAATAATGATATAATCATTCTCTCTACCCTTGGTCCCCTAAAATATTCCATTCCGCTCCCCAAAAAGCCCTTTCTCACTTGCTTCCAGTTCAACTAATGCAAGACTTTCATTTATTCATTCAGTGAAATATAACACGATTATTTTAATTTTAAATTGACAGTGACCTTGCAGGAGGAGTCCATAGATTCTCTGTGGCCAAATGAAGCTTTGAATATTCCACACTTTCTAGACTCACTATCCTTTGCTGATTACAAATGAATAAAGCCTGGGACTGAATGCTGTTCCATTCACAAAGTCATTTTACTCTCAAAAAGATTATTGAAAATAATTTTATCATTATAGACAGATTTTTTAAAAATAAAAGACTTATAAATAAATACAAAAAAAGTAAACAGTAGTTTTCCCTGGGTAGTCAGACAACAAAAGTTGCTCTGTTTTTCTCTTTTAAGTATGGTCCTGATTTTTTACAACACAAACCTATTATTTATATCTAAAAGAAAAACAAAATTTTACTCTGATAGAAGTTGAATTTAAAGTTGATATCATTTCATACTTTTTCATCATTTTTCTCTCATATTCATTATTACTTGTCAGCAAATACATATGTCTTTCATATGTAGTAATTTTATACAGATGTTTCTATTATAGATTTTTAATATTAAATAATCAATCATTAACTCTACCATCAAAGAAAATAAATCCTTACAGATCAGACCGTACATTTATTTTTAGGTTAAGACGTTAAGAATTTTTGTTAACTATACAGTGTTACTGTATCTTGACACCTGTTTATAGAGGTACCTGGGAACTGATTACATAAGTACAGATGATAGCAAGTTTTCCTGGAGAATGAAGTATAGATGAAGTATGGAATGTATATAATATGTCTATATTAAGGAAATCTGTGAAAAATGAGTCTTGTGCTTCTAATGCGATTTTAAAACATATGTATGTCTAATATTCAAGTCAAGTTTAGTCACTTTGGGATTCTGTATATAATACTTTCCCATAAGACATGAATTCAGTTCAATCCTATTAAAAACAAAGTATAGCTGTTTCATCTTGGGTTTTATATATAATCTATTTTCATGAATCATTGGTATTATAAAAAAGAAATAGTAATGCCTTTGTGTATTTCAAATGAAAGAATATACTCATTTTATGACTATTTTTTCATCTACTTATTAAAGCTAATATTTTTGAAAGTTTACTATGTGATAGACATAGAAATAATCATCTTATATATGTTATCATTTTTATGTCCCAGGAGGTTTGATCTTTATGACTGATATTTATTGGACACTTATTAAATGTTATGTAGTCATTTTACATGAATACATTCAATTTTTTATACCAATTTAGTCCCTTTTAGGATAATAAAACTTGGAAGACGTTTTTAAATTAAAATTTTATTTTAATTTCATTTTTTTTTTGTGATTGTAGTTGGACAGAATGCCTTTACTTGTTTATTTTTATATGCTGCTAAGGATTGAACCCAGTGCCTCACACATGCTAGGCAAGTGTTCTGCCACTGAGCTACATACAGCCTCAGCCCCAATGATTTTTAATTAATTTGGCCTGAGATCATACAAGTAGAAACTATAAAATTGATCTTCAAACACATGTATATCAAATATTGAAACCTATATTCTTAGCCAATTTATAATTTGTATTTGGGTGAGAATACATAGCTGCTATTATAATAGTTATTAGTATTTATTTGAATTTTTATGGCTTTTATAAGTGCTATTTATATTTACACAGGATTTAATCCTTAGATGTGGGCTACTTTAACTCTCACAAATATGATCTGAATCTTAGTACCCCATTTTAGCAACTATGAAATTGAGTCACAGACAGATGAAGTGTTCTGGCTTAATAAGTAACTGAGCTGGGACTTGAACCAAGGCCACTCTTAACCATCCAGTTTTACTCTACCCATGAACAGAATCTTACACTGATACTCACTATGCCTCCTAACCCTTTCCACACAAGAACAAAAAAGGAAAAACAAATTGGTTGAGTTAATGATTGGAAATCATTACCTAGGTGTTGTGCATTTCCACTGTGCTGCCTTAGCTTCTGTCTACATTATTTCCGACCTAGAACACTGTTATCAATTCCATACAACAAATATTTACTCAATTCATTCTATGCAAGACACTGAATATGGGGCTAGCAACAGTGGAATGAAAGACCCACTTCCTGCTTTCAAAGAAAGCAGGCCATAATACATCAGGCTGTTATAGATGCTATAAAAGGGCTACAATTTTAAAAATGAACTTCAGAAGAAACAAATAAGTTTTGCTGAACTGGGTATAAAGATTTGAGTACAGATGTCATTTGGGCAGAATAAGCTAGAGATTTTGATGGGAAAAATATAAAGAAAGAATATTATAACAGAAAACAGAGCATGAACAGAAAAAAAAAAAAAAAGCATGAAATGTTGGATTTACCTTGAAGGGCTAAGAGGAAAGAGTCAATTTAAGTATGTGGATTTCAGAACCATTTGACCTGGGATCAAATCCTGGCTTCATCTTTTACTTGCTTTTAGAACTTAAAGCAGTTGATTAGCCTTTCTGAAGGCTAATAAAAGTGGCAAGCTTAATCTTTTTCTGTGAGCAATGTATTAACAAAGCAGTTGAACTAATGTCTGGCGTATAATTATACATAATTGTCAAGTATTGGTTTGTTTCATATGCATTTTTTTTTTTACTTGTCTATATAAACTATGGGAAGTGGATGAGACATTTGTCCTGCACAGAGCTAATACAGGTTCAGGCCATAGTGGAAATGTGTGACAGATTTGGGAAATGAATAAAGCCTTAGAGAGTTTAGCAGAAGCCTGAAAATATAAGGTGGTGGTAAAGCACTTGCCTAGCACACTCAAGGCCTTGGATTTAATTCCAAGCACCTCAGAAACAGACAAACAAACAAAAAATGGAAATAAACACCATAAATACTGCTTTCTTTTCATTGTTTATTATCTTTCTTGGTGGAAAGCTAATGAAAAGTAAGGCAGCTAACATTATAAAAATATCAGGCCATTTATTTTATCAACTTTATTTTATATACACATGTTTATTTTCTTATATACATGGATATAAGAAAATTCTGGGAGAATATTCCCTATATTGTCAGGAATAGCTATGTTTCATTAGTGTAATTTACCTTCACAGTGATATAGTATGTACTGCGTGCTATGTTCTATTCTAAGCTCTGTATAAATATTAGCTCATTAATCATCTTAACCAAATAAGATAGTCACTATGAAGTTAGCACATTTTACAGATAAGGAAACCAAGACACAGAGAGGTTAATTCTTCAAGGTTAAAAAATAAAGAAGAGATGGTCTATTTTATGTTACTTTCTATGTGTTTTTCTAGGCTTTCAAAGATTTCTATATTGAACACATATTAGCTTACTAATATAAAAAATAGATGTTTTAAAAAGCAAAATATTGATTCTTCATGGTCCATACTATGCAATTAAAAAAGATCTTGTATATTTTTCTTCTGAGTTTACACCTTTTTTGGTCTGGGGAATAAATCAATGAATTTTGACAATGTTATTCCCAAAGAAAATGTGCTTCCCAGCAATTTAGTATTGTCTGCTCATAGGCATAAGAAAATAGTATCATACAATTAATAAATCAAGTTTGACACTGTATGCACATAATGTATATATACATAAATGTATATAATTCTGCTTCATTTTTCAGTGATCTCCTACAATATTTACTTAGTTCGTTCATTAAACCCTAGGACAGTGAATATGTTTGACAGATGTGCTATTGTTTAAGCTCAAGTTCTTTAAAGTATGAGTAAAATGCTAACATTTAGAAATAAATGGAGTATGGAAGAATGTGACTCCTTTGGAAGCTATGGTTTGAATACAGTTTGTTCCCAGCACCCACCCCCAAATTTATGTTTTTAACACTCAAAGTCAGATGTTAATGGTATTAAGAGATGAAAACTTAATCTGACTATAGTGGGGTTTTTGGAAAGTAATACAGTTCAGAGAAGGTCATTAGGCTGGAGACCACATGATTAAAACCTGGTAGCTTTATAAGAAGTGGGACAGAGACCACACATGCATACTACATCTGTGTGCTCCTTGTTTCTTGCCATGTACTGCCACATGACACTTCCAAATTCTGCCACCAAGAAGGCCATCATCAGAACTAAGACAAGTCTAGCATTGTGCCCTTAAGCCTCAAAAACTACAAGCTAAATAAATCTCTCCCTCATAAAGTTAACATCTGTCAGGTATTTAATTATAGTGATGAAAAGCTGACTAATATACATGTGAAGAGAAATACATGGAAAGTAGTTTATACTATTTTTAGCTGAGGCAAAAATTTGCTATATTTCCACTGTGGTAATTAATTTTCTTTTAAACATTAGTTTGTATAGAATTATAATATTTATTACCTGATTTCAAATTAATTATATTTTCTTCTCATAATAAAGTATTATTTTTTTCATAACTTCATTTAAAATTGGATACAATCTAAAAAGTCTGAAGGATTAAGGGATGCTTGATTCTGTTTTATTTTTTCTTTAAATTGTTACATAATATGGCTTTGATTGGTCACTTAGTGGATGATTAATATATCTAAAAGTTTTGCTTACTTAGTAGATAATTAATATATTTAAAAGCAGAAAAATTACTTTATAAAAAACTTAGTCCTAAAATATGTGCTTAATGAATTTGGTACAAACATTATTTATTTTTTTAATATTTTTTTTAGTTGTAGATGGATATAATGTCTTTATTTTATTTATTTATTTATTTATTTGCATTGCTGAGGATTGGACCCAGTGCCTCATGCGTGCAAGGCAAGCACTCTACCACTAAGCCACAATCCCAGACCCTGGTACAAATATTATTAATTTAAAAGCATTCATTAACTCATTATCCAGTATCTCTTATCCCTAGTCCCTGAAAATCACTTTGAAGAGATTTCCATGCTTAACTGCTTCATCTCTATTTATTCAGAGCTTGTTTAACTTTGGAGAAGTGCTTAGATACAGATCTGAGCACCAGGAATGATGACATTGGCCCTACAGTATTTCCAATCATTGAGGGGAGACTTAGAATTAAAAATGTAGTAGAATTAGTTCTAGAGTGTTCCGTGGGCACATGGGCTGGGCCTCTTGCCCAGTTCTGGTGGTAAGAGAAGGCTCTCCAGAGAAGAGACATGCACACTATGTTTTGAAAGGATGAGTAGATATGTACCAGGCTGAAAAGATAGGAAGATACTTGAAGGACAGGTGATTCATGCATGCATGTACCGAAGGTGGGGAAAAGTTTACAAAGATCTAACATAATTGCCCTCAAATCTATCAAAGCTTTCCAAAATATCCCTGCTACACTATATTTTTCTTTGTCATGTGTGAGTAACCTTATCATTTACCTCTTTCTCGGGGGGGGGGGGTGGCGGCGATGCAAGGGAGGAGTGTTTTAGTGGCAAAGAGTACAATATCTAGAGTTGAACAGCCAGGTCAGAATACAATTTCCACTGTGTCCCACTTGCTCATGAGGCAGTTTTAGGTAGGTTCCTCACTCTATTAGTTGTCTGTCTACTTTCTGTATCTTAAAAATGTGGGTGATGACAATAACATATAGTCTGTAAAATTGTTAAGATGATTAAAATAAAACACTTAAGAGTGCCTGACCTGTCCTATTAAATATTAGGTACTATTATTTGGTAATCTTTGCATTATGTCTCATCACCTCTAGTATATTAGAAAGACTCTTAAAGGCAGGGAACCCACCTTATTCACCTCTAGTTTCTTCATAATAACTGATGTGTGCAAATTAAAATATTCAATTCCTGTGTTTTTTAAAAAAAAATGAAATACTAAGTTATTAAATGATACGTATTCCAATAGTGATGCCATCCTTAAATATTTGGCTTCATGGAAAAGTATACTAAAAATAGATTGTTCTATACAATGTTCAAAGATTTATTTCTCATTATTTTTCTACCACTACTTTTTTTTTTTTTTTGGTGGCTCATTTAAAGGTGACTTTGTAGGTCTTTCACATATGAAAGGAGATGGATTTGTTAGACTTCCTCTTTTACACAAAACATGTATTTTAATGAATTTGTTTAACTATATTTTATAATACTTCCGACAATGTTATGTGTACAAACAAAACCTTTCACAGCTGAGACTTTAAAAAGTGCTCTCTACTAGTACAATAACTAGTGATATGAAAGAATTTAAAGATATCCATTAATGATACTATAACAAAAAAATAACCTATGGAAGAATGCAAATATGTATTGAAAATTATACCTGATAACTTTTAATTATACTAAGGCAAACAATAGAGGTATCTGTTCTGCCAAAGGAAGTAAGAAATCAAATGATTTGGCTAAGATTCTTTGGAAGGTTAACAGCAATTTTGGGAAACAGAACATACCACATATCTATAGTCTACATATTTTGCCTTTGGCAGTTTATATCAATGGAAAATGTAAATTGTCTTGCAGAAAGGACAAATTCAGATATATTGTCCAGGATAGTACTTTGGTAAAAGGCAAGACATGATCAGATATACATGCATGGGAAACATCTTTTCATTTTTTCCTCTAGTTTATGGTACAGGAGATTCCTTGGATAGCAAATGTTTCCCAGCAAATATCTTCTGTCTTCTTTTAAATTCTTCTCATTGGATGAATTATAGAATTGAAAAATTTAGACCCAGAATTGACTCAATCCTGGTAAATCTCTCTTGATAAAATTCCTTGTGTACTTGGTGATTCCATTCCAGAGTCTTCCATGGCTCCCCATTGAACCAGACATTTTTGGATCTTTATACCTGTGACTGTCTGAAGAGTCAATGAGAGTTGAGTGGCTTTTCTCAACAACTGGCCAAGCCTGACAAAGCTCCAGAACACTCCTTCCTCCACCTCAGAGCACGGATGTCACTCCTACCAGTATGTCTTCCCTGAACTGCAAAATAAGTGCTTATTCAAGACTTTTGACACTAACTTGATATGACCTCAGACCTGGATATGTGTCTAGTTTTACCCAATCACCATATTTCCATTTCATTCCCTACTTCTCATGTATTTTTATGCTCATTTGATTAAGGTGGTTGACTTCTGCAACAAGATAATAAAGCTAATTAAAGCCAGAATTGTGCTTAGTTTTGCACAAATTATGTCTCCACCAACTGGCACTATGCCAGACTTAAAACAGGTGCTCAATCAGCATTTATTGAATAAATAATTGAAGACAGGAAGGAAGGAAGCAAGGAAAAAAGGAAGGAACCTCTTCACCAAATTATTTGCAAGAGTGGGCAATTTGGATACTTTGTTCTCCCATGTTATTTTTCATGTTTGAGACCAAAATATAAAATGACATATGTGCTTGGTAAACATTACATGGCTTCTGTACATTAAAGTTTGGCTTCACGCATTTCTTCTATAATTTTCAAGAATAACTTAATGTGTTAATAATGTCATTGATAGAAATTGACACAGATGTCTTACTTGACTCTACACTGAACAGCACTTAAAGAAATACAATTTACACAAGAAACATGATGAATATTCATCAATACTACTATCAGGATGATTTTTATGGTTATTTTGAATCAACAAAGGTACCATTCATGACTGGTGATTTACATCTCTGGAATGTGCCAGCTCACCACTGGTTCATCACCAAGAATCTTTGGAAAAGTGCACATGGTATCTGGGAGCAGCTCCAGATACTTGTATTATCATTACTTCAGCAGCCTGCTGAGAATTCTGTAGTCTGGATCCACTTGGAACAGGGGTTATTATAGAAATCCATCATGAAAAGTGTCTATATGAAATAATAAAAGCAAGGCAGGAAATTTTTACCCAGTCAGGAATTCCAAAACTACATATGGTGTAAGAATTCAAATCTCTTTATATCTACATTTTCAACATGTGTCTAGCCAAGGATTTAAAACTCCAACACTCTTTGTCTCATTTTTGTCTGCTCTCAAAGTGCATGGACTTCAAGACCAAATATTTAAGGTAATGTGCTGCTTTTTAAAAAAATACTCACTGTAGGATCTTTGCCAGCCATTTTGCACTCTTCAACTTTGATTGCAGATGCTGGCCAGAAAACCTGCTCAGAAAGGAAAATAGTTTGCATAATCTCACTTGGATATATGACAGCTCAATGCAGTTCATTGACTTTTTGCTAACTGATTTCCTTAAGGTATTTTCATATTTTTGCTTTAAGATTCCTTTGTCTTTCATCCTATGAACTCATTATTATGTTAGTATAACAACTATCTTTCTGTTTCTTTCATCAATTTTTATCTTTAACAAAAGCCACCTAATAATGATACACATTTACTAACTGTATATTAAAATTAGGCCATTATTAACATAGAGGTACACAATCAACACACATTTTGCTCATTTTCATTCATGGCATACTTTTCCAACTACTTATATCACTGTGCATTCACAATATACTATCTTAAGTGTAATATTATTTTTAGTAAGCCACAGAGCTAACTAGTAGATTTGCTTAAAAAGGCCCCTTCCTCCTTTAACAGCTAAAAGAGCTCAGGTAAAATCCCCGAGTGTCTCTGAAATGCTGCACTAGTGTTCTAAGATAATATTGTCTTGTCTGGGGTTAGGAATAACAGTAATGACTGCTTTTTTTTTCTTCATTTATTAGTTTGTTGCTCATTTAACATGATAAATACAAAATTTTCTTTCCTTTAATTAATCTTCCTTATTTCTTTACTCCAATGAAGTTCAGTTATTTTGTTGTGAGATTAAAAGCCACACTTGTTCAAATAACTATATACCGGATACTGGTGTTCCTTTCAAATCCTGTGTGGATGACATATATCTGATGAGGTGGGTCTTCCTTGAAATTGACCATTTCTTTCATGCTATACCCCATGTGGCTCTTTTTCTCTTTGTACATATGTGAACACAGGGAGCATTTTTCTCATGTAGCTCCAGGTTTTTGTTTAATAAAAACTATGAATCTAGACAGAGAGAACTGAACTCATACATTTTCAGAGCATGATATAAAAACTGCCTATATATATATATGACATGTGTCCAGTGTTTTCTATTATTCTAAAGAAATACATATTCATTATATTTGAAATTCTTAAAGAAAATAAAAGGCCCCCAGAAGGTCAAAATGGCCCTCATGAAAATGACAAACTTACACTCAAGGGTTCTTGACTTATATTGTTAATATTCAAGGAGAGAATGTGGTCTTTGCTGCCCACATAGATCCGATCCTGATCTTCATCCATTAGAAGTATTCTGTAGTCTAAAGGGTGGTGGGACAGGCTGAAGTACTCAGAGGTCTTGGTGTCCCGGAGTTCTGCAATAGTAAAAAGCTCATGTAAAATTAGAATGTCTTGGCTCTATAATTCTACTATTTCAATGAAAAATCTTACAAGAATATTTACCAAAAAATGTCAAAGATATGTTTTTCTCCTACAGTAACCCTTATTTTAAAGTGGAGATATGTTAATGGACATTTTAAATTATGGCCTTTATGCTGAAGTAAAAACAAAGAAATCAACAATTCAGTGTTAAAGTTTGCAGTGATACTATGTGATTCAAATTATGCATGTTTGCAATAATCTCAAGTTTGTTTTATGAGTGGATGTCATTGTTCAAAACTGCCCACATAGTTAAAATAGATGAATCAGAAAAATGTATAGTAGTAGAACAGAAAACAAAACCAACATCAGTGAGAATGTCTTATTTTCTATAAATGTTTTATTCTAATATGTACTACATTTAGCATTTTAGAATCATGTCCTACTCTAAATAATTTGCTTACTTCCTCAACATAATTTTAGTCAGTAGTATATTTTTCTATAAATAATTTGAAAATATATCTATTTTTTCATTATATTGTATTCAAGAGGCAATAATTTTAAATGACAGAATGCCTATGAATGTATCAAGGGAAAATATGCATTTTTCAAATATCTGAATCTTTATATTTTAAGCATCTCAATGATCTGTGACTCATGTTCTTGTTATGTCTTTTACATTAAATATGTGCCTTAGTAGCTGTTCTTTAAGAACAATGAAGGTATTATGACAATAAAAGCAGCCAATAACCACTGTAGCAGACCCAATTTTGTCTGCAGGCAAAATGTTCCTTTGAACAATTTAAGACTTTTCTATCAAGCGATTTAGAATTTTTTTTGTTGTTGTTCTTTTGACTATGATCTTAAGAGAATGAGAAACTCTAAGAACAAGACTGCTTTTTGAGATTACTGCTCCCATGATGAACGGATTCTAAATTTTTAGGTATAGAATCAAATCAGATTTCGAGAAATTTTGATATGGCTATAGTTTGACAAACCAAAGTGAAAATAAATGACACTAATGCTTATAGACATCAAGAACTACATTCTGTGAGATATATCTTACATGAGAAGATAGAGAAGTCACAAATTTGACCTGTTTTCTTGGCAAACCAGTTCAGACTGTTTACCATAATCTCCTCCAGGTAGTTTCAGCCAATGATATCAATGGCTGTGGTGCCCAACTTCCTGTGATATTAAGCAAGTTATCTAACTTCTCTGTTAGGTAGCCAATTTTCTTTTTTGTAAAAAGCAACAATAACAGTGCCTTGGGAACTGAGAATTCCCATGAAAATCAACTGAAACAATACATGTAAATATTTGTAATGAGTAAGAAAAAGTGTTCAATAAATTACAATTCATATTACTGTTATTAGTATTCATGTTAAGTTTGCATCATTTATATAAAAAAGAAGACATTTAGGTAAAATAAATACATGTTTTCCCTTTAGCTTTTTTTTAACTTAAGGAAGTCACATCCATGAAATTATTAACACATAATATTAAAGCCTAATTCTCAGATAAACAGTTCATATAATAGTAAAAGATGTGATTTTTAATGTGGAAAACTAACTGAGAAAAACTTTTTCAGAAGACTCTTGAAAAGCACAATCACAAGGAGAGACAAGAACAAAACACAGTCAGGTATTGATATAGATCTTTGCAAATGAGACTGGCACTGGGCACAGGAGAGTGTGCTGACCTTCCAGTTTTTGAGCCTCATTAGACAGCATGGACAGAATGGTGACACAGCTAACAGGTGTTGCCACTGGCCCAGAAACTGGGACAGTTTCTTTATGAGGAGAGTAAAAAAGGTGATGGGTGGGGATAGATATCATGCAGGAAAATGGTCGGACCATGGTAGAGCAGAGGTTAAGGATAATAGAAAACTTTCTGAGAGCCAAGTACATGGTACAGAACTCAGGATCAACAAGTGTCCCTCAAAGGCCAGATTGCCTTCATTCTGTCTAAATTCCCAGTGTGTTACCAAGCTTGCTTTTCACTGAAGGAATGTAATTCACAGTTGTGCAAACATTTTGGGTAGGTTATAGCTTGGGCAGCAGAAGAGATTTGAATTAGTATCTTTTGTATAAATAATTCTCCAGTGAAATAAATAGAATAAAGCAATAAAATGACTGAGTTCTTGCCTCTGGGACCCAACCACTGGAAAGGGTCTGAATCCTGGCTTTACCATTTCATTTTGATATGTACTTATATGTCTCTCTGAATCCCAGGATTCTCATCTGTAAAGTAAGGATGATAATAAACATGTCTCACTGGGTTGCAGGGAGGTTTAAATTGGTAGTGCCTATTAAGTGAACCTTAGTTACAGTGATGCTAGTTACACAGGTTACCTATTTGAGATTTGGGGTGAGATATCCATACTCAACCAACAAAGTAAGAACAAGTCTTCACATGAGAGAGGAAAAAGAGAGAATCTACTTAAATTACTTGAGGAGAATACAATAATAAAATAATACATTCTTAAGGGAAATAAATTGAGTATATGGAATCACTTTGTACTGTGAGAACTGAAAGACTAAGAGAGTTTTAGTTGTCAAAACATGATGCTGATAAACTCCAGATATACTAGAAACGGGAAGGAAGAGTTGCTGCAACAAACACTTAGAATCAAGGATATGAAATGATTTTATACAAGATTGGGGGGAGATAAAAGAAAGGCCAATTTATCCCAATGTATAGTTAAGATTTATTTTTTTCAAAATATTCTGTTTTCTTTTCTCTTTCTTTTCCTAATCCATACTGAAATAGAGCCAAGAATGAGTTATTAGCTAGGAAAATAGCCTCAATTGATTTTTGTTTGCAAGTAACAAACAATGGCAGTTCTCTTCTTTACCTGTTTCATTAGAAAATAATCAATATTTTGCATTAATTCAAATACCAGAGGGAGCAATAATCACACCAACTTAAAGACATTTCTGGTCCAAGGATTTTTAATTCATGTTCCTGAGCCATAAAGCATTTTCAGATTTAATTATCTGTATCTCATTTACTGTGTGACAGCTGTTAACCAAGGAAGATTTACTTCAGAAGTGCCCTTGTCATGATAGGAGCCTAGGCTATTTTGTTAAAATGCTATTTAAATTGCTGTTAGTAGCAATGATTAAATTTTGGGACTTGAGGAAATTACATTTTACTCTTTTTTTAGAATAAAGAGATGAGTTCAAAGCAATGAGAGTTTTATCTATAAAAAGAATGACCCAAGAATCTATCATTTTGATTCAATGTAGATCCATCTTCTGTAAATGAGTGTTTCAATTACTTGTCCACCATTGTACTAAATGACTGATTTAATGGTGTGGTCCCAGGGAGAGAAAGAAATCACGATTATTAGTTCCTCATCTAAACAAGTCCAAGAATGGAACTGTCTTACATTTCTTTTAATCTTAATGATGTCATCCTTTTTTACAGCATCAGAGGTACAGTTGGTTGTGTTGTTTCTCAGGACATGCTCAACTGATTGAGAAGAGACTTGGCTGAGAGGAAGTCGGATTAGAAAATGCAGCCCCATAAAGGGCAACATAGGTCTCCAAGTTCCTGGGAAAATCTCCTGGGAAACAGTATTTAAAAAAAAGAAAAAAAATAGAGCATGTTTCTGTCCTGGACTCTGCATTATTGTAGAGTTCCATGATGGAAAATTACTGCAATCCCTTCTATGCCAATGTTTTCTGAGTGAAATTTTACAGCACAATATGCTCACCTAAAGTTCATGTGTCCACATAGATTTTGCTTTGTAATGGAAGCCACTGTGAGACTTGAGAATTTAACCCAAACTAGAACAGTGCATTCCCCAAAATATAAACACTAGCATTGTAAACTTCTGAGTCTACTTAAGTATAGTCAGTGTATTGCTATAGCCATTAAAAATCAAAACAATCAATATACAGTAATATTTTTTTATCTGTCAATAACACTTCATTCCAGTCACATAAGAACTAACCTTTGGTTTCTGTTAAGCCAGAGATTTTAATATTCCTGAGGTGACTAAGTCCTTAAGAATCTCATTTATGTGCCCTGGAATGTAATCTTATTGGGATGTTTATAGTGTTACCTTTTATAATGAATAATATACATTTGTTAGACTACATAGAAAGGGAGCTCATAAACTCAGAATACATTGTTATTGGTCTTTCATAAAATTCCAAAATAGGCAAAAAATCATTTGATAGAAAACCACTTCCCAAAAGTCTCTCATTTAGAAGCATATGCAATAATGAATTATTAATTATATTTAAAGCTCATAATGCACTATTGATTTTTTATTCAACACATATTTATTGAGTTCTTATCACACAAGGCTGGATATTTTGCTCAAGTAGAGGAAACAGCTATGAAGATTTGACCTTGTGACAATTTTAAGTCTTACCTATGTTCTGTTATTTTGTTTGGCTACCCCAGTGTAGCATCGCCCCATTATAAACTTAACTCTGCTTCAGGCAGAATGCACACTACAGATTTCAAAGTAAATCCTTGGGATACCTTTTACTTAAAAGATAGTGCTACTGACAGGATAATTTCCTCTCCTGAAAGTCTTATCTCAGAAGAATGTTAAGTAGAGTGGGCTCAAATGACCATCCTCTCCCTGAGGCTTAAGGTTTTGCAACTGGGTTAGAAACTGAACTTCACCTGTCCCTCTAGGAAAATTTCAGATAAAGACAAGAGCAGTGAAACTTTACCTGACTGAAACTACAGCTCCTAATTTCTAAAGTAAACAGAGACCAGAAGGCATGTTGTTAAAACCACATTTGCTCAAAATTAATAAACCCAAGTAACGATATCCATGGGCTCACCAGTAGGAGTTACTGTCCTGGGTGCTTTATATACTTATTTCATTTAATTGTCATTCAAAGCATCTGCATTATGTCCTAATATTTTTCTAGTTCCACATACAAAGAAACAAAAATTCAGTGTATTTAAGCAACCTAACAAAGTCACACAGTAAGATCCACCATTCAAAGCAATGTCAGTTCTTAGT